AAAAAAAAAAAAAAAAAATTGCTTTAAAATGAATATTATTTTTTTTTTCAAATTTTTGTATTGTATTTTCAATTTCAATATTATAAATCTATATTTATATTATAAGCAAACCTATTTACTAATTTTAGTAGGTAGAATAGTCAACAATAATTAATGATTTGCTATTCTTATCAAGTATTTAATTAATGCATCTAATATTTTTGGTATGCAAATCAAATTAGCATTGAATTAGTTCCTAAAATATTGGATATGCAACATTAATTTAGGAATATCAATGTAGTTCTGGTATGTAATAAGTAAAATAAGATTTTTTTATTTTTTTTAAATATGAAATATTGCAACACGTAAAACTATTTCAGTTATTTTTTATTTTATTTTACATATAAAATCTAATCAATTTTTAATGCATCCTAAAAAATTAGATTTAGTTTAATTCTCCATACAACTGGCCGTAACTTTTTTAATTGTACTTTTTTTATTTATTTATTTTACACTTTTAAATTAATGAAGCTCGCCGAAAATACCAAATCAAATGATTTATGAAAGTTTTTTTTTTACAATTTTAAATCTATATAACCAGCTTAAAAAACTCATCGCATAGATATGGACGAGTTTAAGAAAATTTCATAACCCATCGTATAAAATTCCATCTCCACGAGTCAAAAAAATCACATCCCTCATCTATCGTAACAACTTTAAAGGTAAATAAATAAAAGTCTAATTACTACTATAAATCCATTATCTATATAGGTTTTTTAAAAATCTAAATTTCACCTGTCTAATAACTCATATTTTAGATACTTTTAAATATTATTTGTATAATTTTTTTTTACACATTTGCTCTCTCTATATATATACATATACGGAGGTCAAATGAAGAATTTTTAAACATATTTTCCTTACGGGTAGTTTAGAAAAATTTAGGTAACTTCAAACATTATTTGTGAATAATATAGAATATTTTAGACGTTTTTTATAGATGTTATAAAATATTTGAAGTATTTTTAATATTTATATATCACACTTAAAAAGAATAATTTTCCAAAATAAAAACATTAAATACACATTGTAAATGTTAATAGAAACATTTTTCAGTGTTCGTCTTTGATTTTGTCAAAACAAATCTCATAAAATCGGTGAAATCAAAATTTGTACGTAAAGTTTATCAATACTAAAAAAAGGTAGATTTAAAATTCTTTATCTAATTTCTTTATTTCTTATCTAATTCATTTTTATTATCTAATTGTATAGAAATCTGTTCTTATTTTGTTCAATCCTCTAATTGTATTTGTATTATATCCCATCAAATCGGTTTAACAAAAAAAATCTCATAACATCCGATAAGTAAAAAAAAAAAGTACGTAAAATCTTTACTAAATAAAAAAAGGCTTATCTAATTTATTATCTAATTGTATGGAAATTTGTTCTGATTTTATAGTACGTACTACAAATTGTGCACCCGTATTCAGGAGCTACTTAATGGGAAAGCTATGTGGAAATAACTTATTTATTGCTTCTGTCCCGTGCATACGGTATGTATTTGTATTACACATACTAGAAAATTGTGCACCTCGTGCATCACACGGACTCTTTACTAATAAATGACCTTAAAATTATGCACCTCGTGCATCACACGTGTTCACATTTTGGCCTATTACAGGTCACGTACTATATATATCCCGTACATTTTTCTTTATTCATTTATATAATTATAAGACTTGATAAATGACCTTAATTTTGTGCACCCCGTGCATCGCACGGGATCTGTACTAGTTTTGAACTAATATTCTATTTCGGCAAATTGGGATCAACCTACCAAACACGCCCTAACAAACGCGGGCAAAACAAATCCCTATCTCCCGCCAAGCCATTTACCGCGATATTATTTCTTCACACAACCCAGCCCCCAATAAGGTCCAAACAGCTCGCACAAAAATTTCACCTAAAGCATACATCTTTCTCTCTCTAAGAACCCTTCGCGGCTTCAGTAAGGTGGGCTTCGGATCTACCCACCCACCACGATTCGATCACTCGCAATACGTTTATGCAGCTTGATTTCAATTTTCTTCACTTAGCTTCGATTGCCGTGGAATATCAGGTATTTAGCTGCTTCGCGCTTGCTTTTCGAATCTGATTTCTTGATGTAAGTAGCTTACTGGTTTTCGTGTTTTTTTCGCAAGAAAGTGTATAATGTTTGAGTGTAATTTTCTCCTTCTCACATTAGGGATTTCAGATTTTATCACCATTAATGTGAATTTTCGTTGCCCATATGGTAGTTCGAACATTTGACTGAAGTTTTAGGGTTTGTATTTGTTTTTACTTTTGTTTAGGCGCTAGATCTGAAGAAAATCACTCTGAGCATTTGGAAAAATGGGGTCTAAATGTTCCTTTAATGGCTGAATTGCTATTTTCTTAAGTTATTACTCGTTACCTGGGACTATTATGCTGCATAGACATTGCTTAAAAGGTAGTCTGCTTGCTTCTGTTATCTAGGGTCCTTATTTCAGCTTTCATAGTGTAGGTGTGTGTGCGAAAGAAATTTCGTAGCTATTTTCATGAGAATGTGGCGATAATGTTAGTTGTTCCCTTTGTAGTGTTTTGCCCGTTTGCTTTGCTGGGCTACCACCACTTTGTTGGCGATTTAAGCACGTTGAGAAGCGAGAGAAAGTTTTGATTTTTGTTTTCGGCAATCATGGAATTAAGGAGATGTGGTCACGAACATTTCATCCAAGCTATAAGAGCCGGTGTTGTGATTAAAGTTCTCAATATGAATCATCATCGGAGGCAAGATTTGTCTTTCAAACTGTTGAAGGACGTATGTGAGAGTATAGATGCCAAAGCACCAACACAACATACTACAACAAACTATTGTAATCGAAATGCCTATATGCCAGTTGATCGGACACTACGAGAAGTAAAAGCGGAACCGGATGAGCTTGTTCCTGATTCCAGTGTTCTGGAAAATGATTTGGATGATGCGACAACATTGAGACAGCTTAAAGATAGATTCACGAAAAGGAAAAGAAAATCTAGTCATACTGATGAGCACTTTAAGCCGGTAAATGCAGAAGTGGATACGACACTGAGGGAAGTAAAATCTGAAAAAGATGAATCTGTTCCCCATCCTGACCATGGTTTAGTCAGTGACTTGGATGATAGCACCACATTGAAACAGCTTAAAAAAAGGTTTCATAGGAAGAATCGAAAATCTGGCATTCCTGAGGAACACTCTACGTTGTCATATTCAAATGAGAGTTCTGTTGGAAATGGATCCAATCTTAGTGAGCCCACTATTGTTCTGGAATCAAAGGCCAAAAGTGAATACATGACTGGAAGTGTTGCTTCCCCCTCAACCTCTAACATTAATACAAAATCTGAATTGAAATTTGTTTCCGAAGGTTCTCAGCTGGTTGGTAGTGACTTAACTCCAAATATTCCTGTCAAAGATGAAGATGATGCTATGGAAATGGAAATCCCAAAGGAAACTTCCGTTTCTGGTGAACCATCCTGTTGCAATGTTGAGGTTCCATGTCCAGGTGGTGAAGTATCAAGTGATATCCAGACCATAAAAGAACAACCTGAAACAAGAGAATCACTGTCCCCTTCAAACGGATGCCAAAATTGTGTAACTAATAGGATCTCCTATGATCATGTGGAGGACATTGAGCCTATCTCTGTGTTTGCTCCTTCAAATGACATAAATGATACTTCAGAAAATGCAGAATTGCTCTGCCATGAGGTGCCATGTCCGGGTGGTGAAGTATCAAGTGATATCCAGACCATAAAAGTGCAACCTAAAACAAGGGAACCACTGTCCCCTCGAGGTGGATGCCAAAACTGTGTAACTAATAAGATCTCCTATGATCACTTGGAGGACATTGCGCCTATCTCTATGTTTGCTCCTTCAGATGGCACAAATGATACTTCGGAAAATACAGAATTGCTCTGCCATGAGGTGCTGGAAGAAATATCTGAGCAAAATAGTAGTTCTTGTGTGTCAAATATTGACATGGGAGGTTTGTCATGTGAGCAAGATTATTCTCCAAGTAGCCTAAACAAGAACTGCAGCCCTTCTCGAATTTCTGTTAATTCCTTGAAGGCTGACGAAACATTAGTTCCATTGGCTGTACCGGATGAACAGCACACAGTAAGATGTACCTTGGACAACATTACAGAAAGTGGCTTGACCTGCAGAAGTAGCATGAATGATCTACTGATGGATGAGAAGCAAGCTTTGGAATCTCTGAACGCTTATAAAGAATGTCAGTCTTTTCCAAAGAACCAAAGCCTGGATTGTGTGGATATGGATTCAACGATAGAACCCTGTCGACCTCCGGAAAGGCTTCTTTCTACACGAAAGGTTAGGAACATTTTTCTTCTCCATTGTGTTGTTGTACATATATGCTCGAACTATTGAGGTTTAATGGTCGAAATTGCAGGCAATCTCTCCTTCTTCCCAAGAGAGATTATGCTCGGCGATGAAATCAGATGATGACCTTTGCAATGGTGCTGGTCAATATAGTAAGTGAAATGCATTAATTTCTTTTGATAGTATATAAGATAATGTATGAATTATTGAATTTGGAGAACCTTATTCTGTTGATCATGAGTACTTTATTGATAAGGCGACTTGCTTATGAGAATGTTGAACCTAGCAAGTTTATGGGCAAAGAGATAATCCTTTCAAGTTTCAAATGCAGAAAAAAAATATATTTTTTGAGGTTGAACTAGGAAGCATTTCTTCAAATGTTATTACTCGGTATATAACAGTGGAAAGATTGTAGAGATGTAAGATTGTGGTGTTTGAATTTTTCTTTTTGGGGTCGTTAAATTATGCATATAATTTTGTATTACATCCACATTTTATCCCATTAACTCCCTGATCATCCTACTCTAAAAGTCAACAACAACAACAACAACATGGTATGTATATTCCCAACTGGTTGGGGTCTGTGGGGTCAGTTGTACGCAGACCTTACCCTTGTAATTATACAAAGAGGCTATTTCCGTAGCGACCCAAGGTGCATTGCGTCGTTTGATATATTTTTTTCTAGAAACTTCACTAATAGAAGAAGCACTAGAATTTAATTGAGCCATTTTGATCTAGTCCATTATTAGCACTATGCCAGGAGAATTGTCAACAATGACTCTTCCAGCTCCATTTGCAATGGACCATATCCTACTCTAAAAGTCGACAAATAAAAAAACAAATCAAAACATCTCTCTGTTTTTATGTCTTTTTAACTTCACATTTTGATGTTCCCAGTTGGTTCTGAACACAAGGGGCAGCTTCATGAAGTGGAAGCTGCAAAGAAAGATTCATCTGCAAGATCAGATATCCACCATGCTAAAAGAGCTGTTGATCATGTAGGGAATGGGCTGGTCAGACAGAGAAAGATCTACATTACTCCCAGACACATTGTAAAGAGGTCTCTCAAAGCTAAAGTGAACCTTGAGGGTCCTCGTTACTCTCGCGTCCTACCTAACATTAGTACTGAGTGTACATCCATTCAAGGTTGTTCTGAGAGCGCTATCGCATTTTCACAGAGGCAGATGCAAGACATGGAGTCTCTTACATTTAAGCTGATGGATGAGTTGGATTCAATGAAGTCCATTGTTGAACAAAAGTTGCTTTTTGAAGCATACAGAAATGTTTCCTTGAAAAGTGAAGCAGATGAGGTATGTGTGATGCACTTACGCCTTTAGGTTCTGTTATTCTCCAATGTGGTTGCTTTATGATTCTTTATCGTGCCATATTCTAGAAAATGGCACATGGATTCAAAAAGCTCATGATAATGACTATTGTATTCAGAATAATCATGCACCCATTCAAATTTTATCCTTTTCTTTACCATATCTACTTCTTTTCAGCTCTAGTGATGGTAGGAACATGTATTTTAATGTTGTTTGTGGTTGCATCTTATCGTGAACTCTTGCTTTAATAGTACATCAGTATTTGGATTTCTTGCATAATGCATCTACTTTTCAGTTTATTTTATCGAACATAAAGAAATGACTTGTTAAACTGTTCTACATTGTAATGTTTGAGACTGTCATGGTATCATGTGTTATAATGGCCTAAGATGTAGTATCAAGAGTTCTATTATTATTGATTATTCCTAACTGCATTTTTGCACCCATTTGTGCCTTTTGTTTTTAGTTTCCATAAATTGCATAAAAGGGCGTTTTGCCTTCAAATAGCTATGAGATACCGGCGTGTTCTCAAATTAATAGGTCCCTTTCTTTACAGGTGAAATCAGCAATCAATAGTGCTTCGAAAATGGAGGAAACAGCACGGAAGTGGCTGTCTACAATGGCCCGTGACTGCAGACGTTTTTGTACAATAATGGTTTTGCACTCTATTCCTCGCTTTATACTCAATTAGTACGCTGGAAACTTTTAAGTGTGGACTCCAACTAAATTTTGCAGAAAGTTGAAAATGTAGAAATATCAATACCAATCCGATATGCATTACAGTTGGACAAATCACTTTTTCAGAAAGAAAATATTGTTGAATTTATCGATGAGATTTCAAACGTTGACCCTGATTCTAGTTAATTTTACTTCGTACTGTAGAAAATGACTCCGAACAACAGCCCAGACTTCAAAGATGCTGCTCCTAGAGAGAGAAGAAAGATTGTGTTTGCAGACGAAGCTGGGGGGAAGCTATGTCATATCAAGTATTTTGAAGTTGGTGGGGACAACCTAAAACAGTAAGCTCTCTCGAAATAGTTTTCATCAAGGGAATGACATATTTGTACACTTTCCGTTGATCAGCTTAGAGAAAGACCGACTGAGTGGTCGATTTTTTCGCCTGTTGGTTTGTATTATCAAGTACGAAAAGGGTTATATATACATTCCATATATCAATTTCGTTATTGCCGTGTGTATGTATCCACTTTAATTTGCGAAGCTTTACTTGAGATTGTTTTGTGAGGGTGGAGGCACCATTTAGCCATGCCTTGAATCCAAAGATTTTGGTGATGATGAACAAAATGTACATCCCGTACGATGAATTCAAGATGGAAATTGAAAATCACCAAGCCTAGGTATATGAATCCACTTGGGCTTTGGTTCATCTCCACGTCAATCGAACCATAAAAATTACATTCAATCAACAAAAATTTAAAAGGAAACAAAAGAATTGCATATGGAATCACAAGAATATTTATTTTCTTTGCAAAAGGTTCGACAATCCAAACACAAACAGAGGCAAAATGAAGAAATCATAAAAGAAAGAGTACAGATATAATTGTCTCTTGATGCTCGAAACCTTTTATGATCGACTTGGTTGTACGTGTTTTTTAAAATTTTTGGAGTGTGTGGTCCTTTGAAATACATTTTCCTTTATACCCATTCAAAACTTATGAAAATATATCCCAAGTCATACTCCCTTCTATTCTTTTTATTTGCTGTTTTGATTTTATTGATCATTAATCAAAATAACGTCTGGGATCTTTTATTTATATTTTTTATTTTTACACGCATCCAACTAATACAATAGGCGTCTCTTCAATATAAACTTCATCTTTTCTCATAACATTCATCGCTATTCTCATGGTTATTAGTATTTTTATCTCACTTTATTTCTTTATATTTTTCAATCCATCTTCCACAATTTGTTTGTGGCTTTTTTAATCCAACTTTTTTTCGAATCATTTGATTCTAGTTCCATTGTTCTCTTTTTTTTCTCTCTCTTTTGATTTATGGATTCGAAAGGTTATGATGCTTCAATATCGGATCCAGAAATCCCCTTTTCTAAATCTATTCAATCTCACAAACTTCTTGTGAATGAAGTCTTTCAATTATTGGAGAAGGCATAAGGTGTATATGTCTTATTCAGCATTGAAGACGATATTCATCAATATTCTCACACCAATCGCTTTGCAACTGGAACTAATTTTTCAAAAGGTAAAAGTGCAACAATGGTTGAAGAGAAGCCTGTTGTTGGTAAAGCAGTTTCTTGCCCCGAATGATCAAGTTGTGAACAAGATGCTTAAGATTTTTGTGTCAAACCTATTAACCGAAAAGCTCCTGACCAACGTGGCAGATTTGCTTTGAGCGGAGTGTCTTGTTCGTCTATGTTTTCTCACCCGAGTAATCTATTATTATTGTTGTTGTTTTCATCTTGTTTTTTGTTTAGGTATTTTGGCTTTTAATTGTAATGGTGGCAACACCTTTTTTTTTTAAAGTTGGGAGGAGTGACTTTTCATCTCTCAATTTAGTCATTGTTTTTATTTATTTATTTATTGTTAAGAGACTCCATATTATATTAAGGTTCTTTTGCTTTGGGTTTTTTGTTGGTGTAATGTAATTGTAATTTAAACGATGGTATTTTATGGGACTCTTTATGTTTGAGAAGTTTTAATGTTACATATTGGCTATATATCATAAGAAAATTTGTGAGCAAAGGTGAAAAATTTTAATACAATTTTTTCACGCTTATCCAAAATATGAGTTATAATTCGAAAATTAGATCAAGAACTCAGATATGTAGTTATTAATGAATAATGCCATAACTAGAACTCAGTAGAGGATTCGGAGTGCAACTTGAAAATTTGAGAGAAAAAAAAAATAAGAGTGTCTCAATCTATTGCAGAATATCATTGCAAGAAAATGTGAATTAAATCAAAACTTCTTTTTTTTTACTGTACAAATATTGTCGTGATCTCGAGTACACTACGGTCTTTACCCTAAACTGGATGATCAACCATCTGGAGGATGACACCCATTCCTTGGACGAACTCGAGGGCATTCATGACGTCAAGTCCAAACGACTTAAGGGCATTCGTGACGTTAAATAAAACAAAATTTCGTAATAAAATTTTGAGGTATAAAGGAAGCTTGCTGCAGAATAATCGATGTTCTTGCTCTTCTTTCTCTTGGAAGAAGAATCCGTTATTGAATCAGTTTCAAGTGGTGGAATCATATTCAACTAGTGGAATTCCCCGTCTCCTTAAAACAGTGTTTGGTTTGAGGGAAGCTGGGGGAAGGGGAAGGGAGGTGGGGGAAAATTTTTATTTTCCTTCATTTGGTTCAGTAGTGTGAGGGGAGAAGGGGATGAGATTTTCCCCTCTATTCACTGTGCGGAAGGAAAAGCTACACCCCTCCAATTTTGGGGGAATTTGGAGGGGAAATAAAGCTTTAGTATTGATTTGACTGATATACCCTTCTTAACTAACTATAATTATAAAATTACTTTATATAAATAAACATAATATTACATAATAAATAAGGGTATATTTGTCATTCTAACATTATTTTCCCTCCCCTTCCATCTTCTAACCAAACAAGGTTAATCATTTTCCTTCACCTCCCCTCCTACAAAATCCATCCAAACAAGATAAATTATTTTCCCTCCCTTCCCCTCCTCTCCCCTCCCTTCCATTAAATTCCCTCCCCTCCCCTCCCCTCCTTTGAACCAAACATACCCTAAAGGAGCGATCTCTCCCTCAAAGCAAAGTAGAACGACAGTAAATATGAGTCTTCATATTTAAATGCGCATAACTGACCAAAAAAAAGATCTTTTTAGCAAGTAGAAAGAATTTCCTGAAATTGATAAAAACCACAAACCCAGCCTCGTACAATGAGACTTTTCACGATTACTTCACGAGATGGATCGATAAGATGATTCAGTGGATGCCCAGAAGATGATTCTGTATAGTAGATATGCGAAAAAGAGACCTTTACCTGGGGCAGACATTCTGAACCTATTTCTCTCAGGGCAATCCACATTCCCTCGATACGGCGCCGATCGAGGCGCAGCCCGCAAGCCCCATACTTCTGAACGGGTTTAGCTTCGTGGTTTACACACTGGAGCTTTCGAATGAGCTCTCGTGATTAAACGAAGAGATATTGTCGTAAATCCTCCGTATAGGTGAACGCTGCTTAACCTATACTTTGATTTTCAACCTGGCGAACATAACGGTGAATAATAGAACGAAAAGAATAATGCCTTGGTCTTTGACAAAATAATCCAAGGAACATGACGGGGATAGGAACTACTAAAGGTACTGCGAAGTGAAGCTATTAGATAAGACTGACCTCTTTTCCTTGGATGATATGCTGCTCGTTAGGAACTCTATCTACTTTAGGAGATTCTGGTAGAGATAAAGACACCACCATGGATGGAAATATCGAAAAAGTGGCTTATTCAAATGAGAATGATTGAACTCAATAGCAAGAGCGCCATCTGGTCCTCTGTCTAAGCAGGAAAAGAAGGAGTTTCCCAGGCGGGCGAGAGACTAGGTGACGACATTTTGTTGAAATAGTAGCAACAGATTACTGGTTCTCCTGTAGCTGGAACCTCCGGAACCACAAGAATCCTTAGTCAGAATGGGATTCCAACTCAACACCTTTTGAGATATACCCTTGTATTGTAATTGTAGTTGTCCCTGGGATCGAACGAAGCCAGCAAGTCAAGAGGTCAAGGGATCGGAGATGACTTTTGCAATCCGTCTTCTCATGAGATCTCTTTCCTCTCCCGCTCCGTGGGGTTTTTGGAGAAGGACCTCTCTTTACTTCACAGGTTTGAAAGTGAAGGGTGGATGCAAGCGCTCGTGCCCTTCTCTTTTGACTTTAGTCACACATTGTCTTGGTGCTTTGGCCCAAAGAAATTTGGAGTCACTTTCTTCCACCAGAACAGACTTCCAGTGAGAAGGGTTGGCTAATCCAAAGATGCAACAACACTTTTTTGCGGGGAAACTCACTAGTCTGATAGCGCAGAATCGATCCTTTCTCAAAGCAAACAGAAAAGCAGAAACGAAGATTGAACAGAAATTGAACACGGACAGAGATTTGGTGTAATTGACCTCTCACCCTATCTAGCTTGGTATAAAAGCCTTTCGCCCATCTACCTCGGCTGCCTTGTCTCCTTCAGTTGGAACATAACCCAGCCTATAAGTTGCCTTGTGATTCACAAAGTTTGGTGACCCATTGCTCTTTCTTACCCAAGCCAAGTCCAGGGAAATGTCCCATCTCTATCTAGACCTTGCTGAAAGAGAGCGTCTAGAACTTCACACTGCCACATGCCGAAATGGCCTGTACCATCAAAAATGTCCACTGCAAATCGAGCATTTGTGACTGCAGTTCTCCCTGAACTGGAAGGAACTGCCAACTCAGTGGATGTGGATTGATCAACCATCTCCATGCCAAAAACTATTTAATAGTTGTCAAATGCAGAATACCAACAACCCAAGAAATTCTTTTCTGATGTGGAAGATCAGTCTACGCTGCAACCACAGAGCATACTAAGAAAATAACCCAGACTCTGATACCAATTGTTGATTTTAGTTGCATGCATCCAAATGAAATATCAAGCCATTCTCACAATGGAGACATAGGAGGAGGTACCGATAACACTTTGGCTGCATGAAGGCTCGATTACATTGACCTCTCCGACAAGGGAAAGATCAAAGGCCAGGTGTAAAGCAACTTCACGATCCAATGAATTCCAGGATGACACAAGCGAACTATTGACAGCTGATTGATCCAGGTAGCGACAGGCTCCAATCGAAAGAAACCGCGCGTACGCTAGAAAGACGTATAGGCAAGCCTTTCTTTATGATCATATGGATCGCTTTTCGTGACTTTTCTTTCCATAGGCATACATTGTCGAGTAATAACTTTGGGAATCCCATAAAGAAAAAGGGCTTTGAAATATTACCATTTTGGAATGTCTCGCTTAGTTAACAAACATCGAGTTTGGAGCAGAGGGC